ACCAGTACAGTTAATGAGCAACCTGTACTTGTGTGCTTGTTTGTTCTGTCTAAAATGTTTATTTTGGAATAAAGAGGTTAATATAAAAAATATTTTTTGTCCGATTCATCGATTAATCAAAAAAATAATCGGCAGATTCATCGATTTTTAAAATAGTCGTTAGTTGCAGCCCTAGCTGATTTATACCCAGAAACCAGGTCGTCTCCGTGTGTGTCGCAGTTAACGCAGATATGCCCCCTCCTTTTCCGCAGACACTCTGGTGCACCTCTCCAAAATTGTAGGTGACCACAGACAGTAGGCCAATGATTGGTCAAATCTACACCCGCTCTACTCTATGCGTATTTCCTGTTTGGTAAATACTGGCTTGTTTTGTTTATATGACCGCCATTGTGGAAAACGTCTTGTGAAGATGGACCAGCTAGAAAAGCGAGGTGTGCGAGAACGCTGGGACCCTTTTTCCACCTGGATTCCTGCTCTTTCTCACTCATATCCCTCCGTTATCGCACAAACTTGCCCCCAGTTCATGATCATCCGTCTTGCTTTGTGAATAACATAGCGTAGACCACGCTTCAATATTGGGCATAAATCAAATATCTGCGCCATACCTCCGAAAAACTCCCTGCGACACACTTCTGCGGTAGTATAACTAGCCCTTTAGGGGAAGCATGTAGACAGAAAATAAAAGGTGCACTAAGACAGATCCCTGGGGAATGCCAGAAGGGATTTCTGTGGGTCTCTGATGTAGAGTTACCTACTGACATAAAAAGGTCCTGGCCTCATCAAGTAGGATTTATACCATTCCAGCACAACAAGAAAATATGACCTGGTAAACTGATGCTTGGGACACTATTTAACTGAACTACAGGACTCTTTGTTGTTTTTCTGGGTTAAATTTCTAACCAAGTGGTTTTCTTTTTTGTTTTGTTTTTTTACCGTCACCCCTGCAGTGTGAAAAGATGGAGGATATGAAAAGGCCACACAAGCCCTAATGTCAAAATGCACTTTATGTTGCATTTAAAGCTCCAAATAGTTACTTTGCTTTGTTTTTGCAGCAGAAGTTGCTCGATCTGAAGCTGTGTCCACATCCTGACACCTCCCTGACTCGGGCATGCCTCAGGTACAACCTCACACAGTTCTGCTATGACCGGCCTCCATTTGAAGGGCTTCTCACTCTTTCTACTTCCTCACTTTCAGCCGGGTATGAATGGGATGGAGCCTGCATTTGGCGAGGCCTACGGGGGCCACAGGGGACTGCTTAGCCCCTGCCCGCTGGCCATGTCGCCACAGGGGGGCAGGACAGAGTACGATCAGGTTAGAGAACAAGACGGCACAGAAAAAAACTACTTATTCTTAATTTAAGTTATTTTTTCTTCTAATAAACAAATTTGCCCCTCCGCAGAGTGTACTCCTGATGCTGGGCTCCCCAGCATCACCAAGGAAACGACCCTTCGAGCTGCTGAGTGACCTCGTGGACGACGGAGGGTTTGGCGAGGACCAGCATCCGGAGCGTTGGGACGTGTCCGCGCTAGATGAGATGGCTCGCTACACTAAACTAGGCCTTGGAGTTGGAGGGGAGCTACTGGCCTGCTCAGAGGAGGACATCCTGATGGGCCGCTGGGGGCGGAGCTGGGAGGAGCAGGAGCAGGAGGAGCAGTGGAAGAGGAGGGACAGGTGCGCAGCCCCCCCCATAACCCAGGAAGTCAAGGTCACAGCTGTGGGGAAGGAGGAGGCACATAGCTCTGTTACCATAGCAACACAGAGGGAGTTGTGTGCTGCAGGAAAAGCGATTGGAGTTGTACAGGACGATGAGGTGTCAAGGGAGTCCACAGTGGAGGTCTATCAGGTGGAGGAGGAGCCCGAAGGACAGGAGGCGGTGGCAGCAGCAGGGCTGGTTCTGGAGCACTGCAGCGAGGAGCACAACTACTCTCTGGGCCAGGGAGGGGAGAAGGCTGCAAGGACCGCCCATAACTCCGAGCCTGAGGAGGCGCAAGAGGTCGACGTTCAGCAAGAGGTCCAAGGCAGCGAGGACAGCCAGGCTAACACCGAGCTGGAAGAGGAGGAGGACGATGAAGAGGAAGAGGAAGAAGAGGAGGGAGCAGAGGAAACAGCAGTGGAGGCTGAGCTTTCCAGCTCCTCAGAAACTGAATGTGGTGAGTTTTGGCTTTACTGTGTTTATCTGTGCGGCGAAGAGCCGACTGGTCCCAGAAAACTGCATCATGGGCCCAGTCCAGCAAATTACCTCCCATTATTAGATGACCAGCAGCATGTCTAAACTTCGATGAAACGCTGCCCTCCAGAGAGATGAAAAGACTGAGGGTTGAAGTAGAACCATCTGTTACAGTCTGGCGGCCCTGGGGGGGAGGGCTGGTAAGGGGGTGGGGGGCGGCTGGATGGAAACATGTTCAACAGTTTGGTACCAACCAGTGAATAATTGCTCCTACTTTTAAAGCAGCAGAGGCCTCAGCTGCCTCCATATCTAAGATTGATTTGATTCTGCTTTTCTCACCTGATTCTCTTCAGAAGGGTTTCTCTGTAGTTAGATCTCAGTGGATAACCCCTAACAATGTCTGGACAAACATGTTACATTTTTATTATGCGTTTCCAACAGTCCATATACAGTTTCTAATTTAATCATATTAATAAAATTATTCACATGCTTCTTGGAAGAATCTTCACAGATAGGGGTGTAAATCATATCCATCATGGCGATTGAATTCAGTGTCGATTTCCTGACCCAACGATTCAATTATTTTCGAGACTCAATAATACACCGCGATACGATTCAA